AATAATTACTAAAATAAATATATAAGGGGGAATCCTATACACCAGTCGTCATTTATTTGCCGTTTTTGGCACTTAATATAACACAGTGTCCAATGCTATGTAGATATAGGTACGGAACCCTTCGTGAGCGAGTCATACTTGGCCTTTTTAAATTTTTTGATGATCATATAAGTAGGTGGTACCTTGGATCATATAGGTATGTACCTTTAATTATTTAGGTCTTCAGTAGTTCAAATTTTACTTCGTTCCTATTGACTGTTGACAGATGCCAGACAGGTTTTATAAAAAACATAAAAATAAAATAATTCAATGAAATTGCGTGAGTCTCATAGAACACCCGGTTGTAACGAAGTTAAAAATTATATATACCATCCACCAACCTAACAAACACCAAGCATAAGGAGGCACGATTACCTACGTTACGAATTTCTCTTTCTGTTTTCTTTGAATTTATTGTTTTTAAAGACATTATGATTTGATACAGAAGATTTTAGTGAAATAAAACTTGGCACTTTAAATAGTGTTGCGTTACTGGCGATGGTTAAATTTCCCATACTCAACGGGGTAGGTGATAAAAAACATCAAAACGATATTTGCCTATGGCATATATGGCGGCAAAATCACAATTGTGAAACAATAATTGCCTGTGGCATATATGACGGCAATATCACAATCGTGAATATACTATCAGAGTTTCCCTTTATTGACATAATAATTATAATATTCTTTATTGACATAAACCTCACAAATGTGACCAACTGTGACAAAGGCGGGGGAGGGTTAAAAAAATCATGAAATTAGTGAGACGTACTTTCTGGATGACCCCTTATTATCGGTTTTCAACTTCTACAGTATGCCTCTTAGTTTGGACATTCGAAATTTAGTTAAATTTTTCAACCTTTATATCTATTTGAACTTTCAACAAAGGAAATTTGAAATTTTGTTATTGTTAAAATTATAAACTTTTATTTAAACAACCATCTTTAAAAGATGTAGACATATTTTAAATTACCCAACATAAAATAAAAAGGAAAGTTTAATGAAACGCAGTAATAAGGTACGTAACGTTTTTATTGAACCGAATAATCTCTTAAAAGACTATGTCTTTCACATAATATTTATTCTAATGGATACGGATTAATTAATAATCATTAATGTACATAAAGCACGACAAGCACTTTTTGTCTTACGCGACCAGATCCAATTGTATAAAGAAATCCTAAAATGCATTATATGTTCGGACAATACCTTTAAGAGATACAATATTCGATGTTATTCAAATCGATAAAATTGGTTGCCCAGGCTATATGCGGTGTCAAACTTGGCATGATTTTCTTAACTTAAAACTGAATTTAACATTTCTCTCCTTGTCATGTATAAAGAATGACAAGGATATATCATTGTGAAATTTAATTTTAGGTTAGCAGCAGTTTTTGTGAAGACAGCTGCTTCACCAACTTATTAGACTTCAGTCAATAAAGGATCTGATCGAATAAGATCAGAAAGTCTGAGAAATCATGTTTGAAAATTCGATCAATACTTAATTACCAAAAGAGAGCATTTGAGAATTAGCTCTTCAAAGATTTCTAACCAATTTTCTTTACTTACCATTACTAAAAGTACTAAAAGTAGTCAAAGAAAATTTACAAAAAGCAACAGTATTTTATCGATATAATTCTACGATAAACTTATGTATAAGTTACATTTTGAATGTTTTTTTATTATTTTTTCCAAAACGTAATATGAACTCTTTAGTAGTTAGAAATCTCAAAAGTGCTTACTCTAGACACTCTAAATATTTAAAGTTTTGAAATTTTCATGAATAAATCTATTGATAATGAAATTTTCCAATAACAGAAAATGATATGTAGTTTAATATACACGTAAGTAATATAGTATCTACTAAAAATATTTCATAGAAACAGAGATAAAAAAAATGGTTGCCTGTAAAGTCGGTTTTACGGGCGAAGATTTTACGTGACAACGTCTTTTTCTCGGTAGAATATTTATTGATATGAATATAATTAAATTGCACAATAGGAACAAGGAATTGAATGAAAATAAGAATTGCACAAATTTTAACTATAGAAATATATTTTGTTTACTAAAACATTGTACATGTAAACTTAAACTTAACACGAGAGACTCATCGTAACGTTACCGAGCGTTACACTTTTTCATAAGTGACTCCCAGCCGCAACCTAATTTAAGACGTTGTCACGTCAATAATAATTATGTTAATTAATACAATCCTCAAGATACTTAAAATTAGTATTATATGTATATAGATTTGGCTGTATTTATACAATTTCAATTTTTATAATAAAGTAAATCAAATTATTTTTAAAAGGTAGAATGAAGTGAATTTTTTAAATGGCATATTTCATTATGGTAAAATTTTAATCAGACTAGAATCTATTAACAATAATAAAGAATTATTCAAATTATAACACTATACATACCTATAATAAATGTAACATAAAGGATAAAAATACTACTCGCCTTAAATGAAAGTTCTAATATTATGTACCTCTATGTAGGGGAGCGGGGGGCACGTTGTTACAGGGGTAAGAAGTTACACGCGTTTTTTACCGGGATTTTAAACTCTTTGATGGACATAATTTGACTCATTTGTGTTCTTATAACATCGTGCATTAGATAAAAACAATCAGTGACCTGCCAAGCGCTGAGTTGCTAGGTTGTGTGCGTGTGTCCCGATTTCAACCAAGTAAGTAAAAAAATCCTTTACGAAATTTTTGATTCCTGATGACTATATTTTTTATTTTCTCAAATTTTTTAACCTTGAATGTTCATAATATACCTTTAATTTACAATATTGTTTTATTCTACAATCGATATCTATTAATTATGACTTCAATTTATATTAAAAAACGTGCCATGGGGCAAGTAGTTACAATTTTTGGGGTAAGTTGTTACTATATATCTTTCTATAATCTAAGTGCCTTAAAAATTTTAGAATCCATAGTATTTTAGTTTGCCAAAAGTTTATTAAAATAACTAATTAAGAAGTGAAAGTGAATCATTTAATTACTACAAGTTGTTATTTGCAGACTAAGTCTGTGTTTTTATATAAGATTTAAAAATGTTCCTGCCAAAGTGATTATCTACAAAAAAAACTTATTTATTATAGATATTATAATTACCCATAAATGTTAGAAGACTGTATAAAGTGATCTCTATTGTTTATAGCGTTTTGAAATACTAATAAAAAATATGTATCACTGATGATTTTGTTTATTTATCTACCGTAACATCGTGCCCCGATGATGTAACAAGTAGCCCCAATTCCGGGGTACTATGTTACAATCTACTTGTTTAGTTAAATTCTCCATTGTGAAAAAATTACATAAATATTAATAATTTTTCAGTCATATTTTAATAGCTAAATAGACATACTAACATTACAAGTAATCAAATGAATAATTTATTTGATAGCTTTTGTCATATTAACGACTATCTAAAAAATGTAACAACGTGCCCCCCGCTCCCCTATATGAATTTTCAAGGAATATAAAATTTATATTAATAAAATACGTACATTATATTAATAAAATATTCCATACATAACACATAAGTTATATCTATCACAAATAGTTCTGAGCTAGATCCACAGTAAATAAATTCGTAAGAAATAAAAATAATTATTATGTATTGAGTAATAATAACGAAACGAAATAAATTATTCGCCATACGACGAGATTCCTGAAAACAAATCTCATAAAATTAATTTCATTGAAAACAAGTTGTTTTATCAATTTAAATTTCATCACAATTAATTAAAATTATAATTCTTCATACACGTTCAGAATTGATTAACTCTCACACAAAACGGAATAGATAGGTACATCTGAGTAATTTTTAAATGAGCACCTGTTAGTGAAAAGGAATAAAGCTTATACTGAAATAATTAACAAAAAAATAACAGCTAATGCTGGCGGAAAAATCAGAACAGCAATAAAAGTTAATATTTTCAATAAATTTTAAATTCTGAATTCTCTTTAGGTATAACAGCGTCATGTCTGCAAAGCAAAAGGCAGAAAGTATACACATCGAGGGTTTAACAAACAAAAACTACTCTATTTTTAAGATTCCTTGGTAACTTCAGTCTCAGGAATTCCTTAAGTTATTTACATTCTACCGACAAAGAGTCCAAGAATTTAACACAATACCTACCTACTTAAATATTTTCTCCTTCTCTTAAACAGATGTAATAAATATTTTCAGTTTTTCTAATATCAGCATTTGAGCAACTAAAATGGTTGGTGGTGATTTTTTATCACCTAAAAACCTATGGATTCTATCCGTGTACCTAACTTTATATATTCAGCTTCAGTAAGTTTTTAATAAGTAAATCAAATGATAGATCCCTAATTGACTGGTTCTCAGGAAGAAACACAACTGTACAAAAATATTTATATCGCAATCCATACTGGAAATTTAATATTACCAGTAACTATTAATAACGTATTATATTATTGCACACAATATTGAAGCAAAACAAATTTTAATTAAAGGTAAATTTTGTAGAGACCCGAGGTTCAAACCCTTGTAAATACCTAAAAGCTTTACGTAAACCTTTTTTTTATGTTGTAACAAGAGCTTTGAAATATGTCCACTTTAAATAGTTAGTTCTCATGTGGAACCCGATAAATCTATAAAATTCCAAAAGTGATCTATACAATTAAAGAAATTCATAAGAATTTCCTGATGTTCTTATAAATGGCCTACTTAGGTACTAGTTCACAAAAATGCTACTTGTGTTATAACACTAAAGTTAAAGTAGGTAACCTTCTTGACTTCGCTTAAAAACGACGCTTCAAGCATCACTTGCACGATGGAACATAATGCTAAATATTATTCAACAAAACAAACCACCATACAGCTGACATAATTTACTAAAGTTTACCAAAAAGAAACCGTAATCAACGTCCATTATTTACAGTTCGGTGGACGTTGCATCACTCGACAAACATCTGGAACGATTTATTAAGTTTTTTTTGTTGCGGGCAACACTTGAGCGTTCTACTTGAATGGTAATTTTAAAACAAAATTACGTCGGCCCCCACGCGTCCGCCATGTAAACCAGTAGATTCGCGAATACTGTGATGCTTATCATTGCCACATTGCTGCTGACATCACCGGCGGTATCGGGCAACCCGCACTCGTGCCCCCGATACTCCAAACAAAAGGTCTGCAAATGTAAAAAGGTATTACCATAATATGGATTATCGAATGAAGTTATTTTTGTCGATTGATCATTTGATAAATCTAATTTTCGCGAAAATCGTAGGGATATTGCTAGCTAGGTTCGCACTAGGTCAGGTTAGGTTATCGGTTTTGCGCGCAGTCTTCACAGGGTACCGCAACACCACCCGCACTCCTGATCCGCATTGGAAGGACTTCGGACCTCACAATGCGTGTCGGGTGCCCGGTGCTGGACTATTGTCTGGTTTTTACTGGCCCTGTTCAGGGTAGGGCCCTGTACACTTCAGTTGGCCTCAGGGTTGGCTGAAGTGGACAGGGAGTAGTCCCAAATACCTTTTCTCACTCCCCCAGTGGTTGAAGGATGCGTAAGGCATTTCCCAGACACAAAAAAAGTTAGGTTATCGGGTGGGGTTTTATACCTATTTGCGGACAATCATACGGTTGCCGCGACCACACCCACACTCCCGGCACGCATTGGAGAGACCTCGGACCTCACAATTCGTGTCGGGTGCCCGGTGCTGGACTATTGTTTGGTTTTTACTGTCCCTGCTCATTGCATCGAGCCCAGTGCTGGATGAAAGGATGAAGAGTCCCAGATACCTTCATCTCGCTCCCGAGGCCGAGCGAGCGTAGCGAACGTATCACAGCAGCAAAAAAATTTGCAGTAAGATTGAGCAATGTAATCGCCATCGTCTAATTATCTGATAAACAAGGAATAAGCTTAGACTAGTTACGCCATGTTTTGTTCATGTCACTCAAATGCCATTTGCCATTCATTAGACAGAGACAAAACATGTAGTAACTAATCCATGAGTAGTCTTTGTTTATTAATAAGGGGGTTAGGGTTTACGCAAAAATCCTACTTATCAAATCATCCTACGACATGTACATAACGGTGCCAAGTCAAGAGAAGTGTATTTATTATTTTAAATAGATGTATCTAATATCTATAATGAACTGTGGAGTCTTTATTTTCGTTGCTTACTCTATTGTAGTTACGGTATTCACCAAGTGTACTAGTAGTAGTACTTGTGATACACTAAAAACCAAGTCGATTGGTTTTTAGTGTATCACAAGTATTTTATTAACCTGGTTTTTAATTATTGTGTACTACCAGAAATTGGCGCTAATATTTACTGCAGGAAAATTTTGTAAGAAAACGTGAAATGCATGATTACCGTTAATTGCAATGATCAATCAATTCATTTAGATTTTACATCACTTATGCGACCATGTAGAATAAACTTTGTGAATCAAAATATATTGACTACTAGCGATCGCCCGCGGCTTCTTCCGCACTAACTTTAGTTTTTTGTGAATCTCAGAGAAACCTAACACTTTTCGGGATAAAACGTATCCTATGCCTGAATCCGGGCAATAAGCTTTAAGCGTACCAAATTTAATCTAAATCCGTCCAGTAGTTTCTGCGTGATTGAATAAAAAACATACAAACTTTCACATTTATAATATTAGTAGTCTAGTAGGATTAACAACAAACATCCCTTAAGTACTCGATCAAAACTATTAAGGTAAGTTAACCCATACTACATTCAGCTCTACTGCACTATATTTACAAAAACCAAACCCGAGAAGAAGCAAAACAAAGTTTGTGATTATACCTTAATAATGTTGGAAGCCATTCGCTTCAGAAACGCACTGGTGAATAGAGCAGCTTCATCTCCGCATGATCTTTGCACAGTCTGCTCCGAACACAGCAGATATTCTTGGAATGAACTGGAAAAGAAGATGTCTTGTTAGTATTTCAAAAACTACGGTGACGGAAGAGACAGATAGGTAGAACAGAACAAGAGTTATCAACAGGTCAGTATACTATTTATGTTTATGGTAATATATTTTATGTATACTGTATCTTAAATTCTTAATTGATACACAAATTAAGTACTTCTCTCTATAAGCATGTTATTATCCGGTCGATAATATCGAATGCGTTATTGCGATATCTGTTTTTAGTACATTATGTATTAGTACGAAGTTACACACTGCTGCGATAAGACACAATAGAAGTATGACGAAATATCGCAATAATGTATACGATATTGTCGACCGATAATAACGCGCCTATAGGCGGAATTAAGGAGTGTTCATGTCTTATAATAAGACCCACCTAATTCATGACTTCTACGTCGAATATAAAAGACCAAAGTATATTTGTTTCTCAGGTTTTCACGCACATCACTCATCAAATAAAAGAAGTTTCAACGGGTTAAATGCACTGATTTTAATTATTTGTGATATGGGTGCGAAAGGTCAATAAATAAATAAAATCGGTGTATCTAACCCATTGAAACTTGTTTTATTCAGACCAAATTATCATTGGGTTTATTAACTTTTGGGTGCAAATCTATTGCGCTTGATATCAGTATTTTATGCAGATCCCAAGCTTTTATTACGAACGAGCCCCAGAAATTATCGCCCAACATAATTACGGCTACGGTTAAGCCGTAAACTTTTACGAGCATGCAAAGACTAAAGTATCTGACTTTAATGCTCAGATTCGATGTACTACTACTACTTGCATATAAAAAATTGCCTCTGTAAGTTTACATATTGAAAATCTATACTATTATATAAAGAGAGAAAAGGATACACTGACAGACTGACTAACTGTCTGACGCATCAACGCACAGACGAAACGGCTGGATATAGAATGATGAAATTTGGACAGTAGGTTCCTATTATTGCCTAGACAAGTAAGCCTCTTAAGCGTGAAATAAGCAAAAAACGTTTGTTCGTAAAATCTTATCCCTTGGGCCTATTGACTGCAAATTTTGCATAAACATCATTCAATAGATGTACACTAAACCTGTTACATATTTTTTTTTAACTGTCCTCATATAATTACAAAATTTTGTGTCAAAGTTTATATGGGAGATCATCCAAAAGTGCATAGAATTGATTAAAATTGTGCACACCTACTCTGCATAAAATAAAAATGCTATCTCTTTTTTCATTTTTCAAACCTCATAAAATAAAGACATGTTGAAGTATTAAATACTGCGTCAACGCACGCCTCCGCTTTTGTTCGTAGAGACATAATATTTACTAAATAGATTGTTTAAATGACATAGGCATCAAGCGAGAAATGATTCTTGAATATTCCATCGTCAATTGGGTGATATAGGGGTTTAAAGTTTGTATGGGAAAACTAGTTTGGCTAGCTTGACAGCTTTGAAACTTGGCTTAGATAAACTAAACTTAAAAAATTATGTTTAAAATTCGATCTCTACAACGAGAAATAAGGCTGGCAAGTTATCTATAAAATATATTCAGCTGACTGATTGAAGTTGTTTATATAACATAAAAACAAAAAGAACAAATTTAAGAATAATTAAAACAAAAAATATACTATAACAATGAACCTAAAACTAAAAAACTTTAAAAAATAAAATATAATAACTAAAATACATTATTAAAAGGAGTCCCTTTAGGCAAGGTTCCGAAGATACTGGCAGCGTTCCCCCTTTGGATAGCTAGACTAATTCTTTGTCCGAGGTAGCTGCCAGCTCTTCGGTCTCCTGTGATGTCGACTAATCTTTTTGCTATTTCTTTAAAAAGCCTTATAGCGCTAGGACCCCACGGACCAAGGGTCTCGACACCGAATGGGACAAAATCATATTCGGAGCCTAGACCCCTGTATTTGCCTGCCTTAGCTTATTCAGCTTGCTCTAATATGTTATTACTAGCTGCCCGCGAAGTTCCCGTTCCGTTCGGAATTCACGGATATATAAAAAGATATTCGACCTTTATCAAAATTTAAATAAAAATCCTAAGAGAATCTCTTTGCTAAACAGAAAAATCAGGTTGGTCATGCCCATGGCCAAATAGATTTATTATACTCGACCTATTTACTTAGAAACTTTTTGCTAAGCTGAAAAATCAAGTGATGGCTGATTCATTATGTTTCCATAGTATTTAATACACCGTGTGAAGCCGGAACGGGCCGCTATACCTGTTCTTTAATAAAACGCATATTAAAGTTTTATTATAAAAGTATCATAATACTTTGATTCCAAAGATGATATCTTTGTGGGATCCTATTTTCTGAGCGAAACGAATAATTTCCTGTTTTAAATGAAACATGATTGAACAAAGTATCGAAAAAACTAAAGTAATTGTGAATAAGATTCTATAGGAATTGAGAATACATTTTCTGTTCTATCCTATTTATTATGCAATGGATCACAAGTCAACTTACGAAGTTCAATAATCATCTATGTCACAAATCTTATTGTATAAATAAATAAATTTATTTTTTTTACTTTGGGATCAGTATTAGTCATCTTATTTTGAGTTTATGGTCACCCAGTTTTACTATATTTATTGTCAGGGAGAGTTTTTTTTTAAGATATATTTTGGTAAAGCTTTTAGAAATCAGCAGAAAATTCGGAAATCTGAAATATTTTTGTATTAAAATCTCAACACATCAAAAATTAATTTTCATTAACATATTGCACCCGTGTGAAATCGGGCGCGTTACAGTTTTAATAATTTTCGAAAACATTAAAGACAATACGAGACGATGTTTCGTACGTATTATGTTATGTTTAGACTTATATTTTGTACTGATAATATTTTTATCCCCCGAATTAGTCATAAACAGATCTAAAACTAAATACGTGATTTCGTATTCCTGTTTCCTGAACTCGTTGCCTTTCCACGAGGATTTTACACACAAAAAGTTTTATCGTCTTAATCATTTCAAACGAAAAAAAACTTGTAAGTTGCCAAAGTTAGTAAACAAAACTTGTGCTAGATAAGAATCAAGAGATCTAAATAAAACAACTTTCATACAAAAAGATAGGTACACAAAATACCGGTTTCATGTTCACCTACTCAAAATTATTTTCCCCAAAAATCATACTAACGATTTTTTTTCTCAAGTTACTTTATTTTAGAGAATTTGGTCTTGTAATTGGTGGATCAATATACTGACTTATTTATAAGCTACTTACTTATGACTATCACGCCTTCATTGATACAAATAATAGTTTTTTGGAGTTTACTCCTTAAGAATCGATTTGCATATATTAGGGGCCTGGTATGAGAAGTAAAATCTATCGATGAATGACCTCGTTACGTTTTTGGTGCGCATCCTATGTCGCGCAACTTTGACAAACAAAGATGACGGATTGACATTAATAAAATTTTTAAAATTGAACTGAATTTAGATATTGTTTCTGATAGAGCAATGGGGACAACGAGGTATGGTACAACCATTGATGCGGTATTTTCAAGATTCGTGAACCACGTATCTACGAACGTCCATGTGTCTTATTTTAGTTACCATAAACCAATTGTCACTGTAATTAATAATGCAGACAATGTTGATTTAATTAATATTTAAAAAAAATATAATAGTCTGATAATAATAATTACATAATTTATCAACAATAATAATCACATCTGAAATTGACTATTGTTAAAAGTTTAATGTAAAATATTTCGTCGATTAGTTATAGTAAATGTATATGAAATGAATAAATATGTATTTATATATGTATATTATTTTCATTACTTTGTTAATTTACCCTTTCATACAGTATCAATCTTTTTTAAGTTAAATGAACTCTTTTTACGTCTGGTTAGACTATCGAACTAAAAACTCCAGTCGTGCATCGGAGCTGACACACACAATTTATTTTATCAATCATTAACACTAAAATACAAATAAAAGGGATTGGCAACTTGACGATTAGCTGAAGATATTTCATTTCACTCATAAAAGAGAAAGTTGTACTACCCAAAAAACAAAAGAAATTTCATGGAATTGTTTTAATAAACTTATTAACAATTCCTCAATAAGACGTAATTCAAGTTGAAATTCACGTCAGTTCCCCGCAATTTTTATGTGGAAAATGACAATGTTTTTATTCATTTCCCCATTGTGTCAGAGCATGGGCAGCGATGTATGAATCCTGCGATAGTGCACGAAAAATTTTAACTAGAAAACCGACCTGACTAACTACCTTTAACAATGTGAATATAATTTTTGGAAACCACACAATGTTTTAAAAGCTACGAGCATGAATATTACGAGAGTGCTACGAAGTTTGATTGGACTACAACGTAAAACGGCCACTATAAATAACGTAGCCGGCAATTTTATCGACTATGAAAATTGATATAATATCTGTCGTAAATTGCTACGGCTATTGAATCGGAATACAGATAGAAAAATAATAATTGGTGATGTAGGTGAGTATTTGTAGCGAAATAATCCTAAGTTCTAACAAAGAAATGTGCTCGCTTTTTCCGTGGATTAACAAGAGACAAACCAGAATGTCTCTTCTCCGTCTGTCCTACTTTGCGTTAATTTACTAATTAGTGGCCACAAGTAACAGTGATGGTAAGCTACAGCTGGCAGTGTTAGTATCTACCTCAACTTACAACAAAGGAACCGAGTATCTTTATAAACTTATTTAAATTAATTAAAAACGTAATGATCGGTTTAGTTATTAAACATCCTGAATGAACATTAGACCCCATTGCATAACACAACATTGGACAAACAAACTTATAGTTAATTAAAATGACATAATTAAGCATTAACTTTACTTTTGTCTGGCACAAATATACATAAAATACCCACAGATTCACCACTTCGTTAATATACAAAGAAGTTTGGATTATCACGCAGTATTTTCTCTATATTTTTGTTAAAATAAATCGCTTTCACAATATTACGAATGTCAAATATTAAACAAAATACACTAAAATATCATAAGGCTCTTTTTTAATTAAGCCTTTCATAAAATCTAAAACACTCACAAGATGATTGCCACCTGATACAGATACAGATAAATTTGACTATTAGACAATGTCAAGTCAAATACATAGTAAAATGTTAAGAGATGGTTACTATTTCTAAGTAAAGCCACATTTTAACTATGTATCAAACAACGTGTCCTAGTTTAATAACAATAACTTTATTTGTTTGACGTTATTTGTAACATTTTATTACATTATAAGAAGTTTGTATGTTTTCCTCATTTATAAAGCAAGCTGGTGCCCGTGACTGCGTAAGCATAAAATTTATACTTCCGTAGTTTTCATACAAACTTTTATCCCTATTTAAGTTTTATTTTGTGACAACAAGCCCTTATCGGAGGTGCCTTTATCTATTTCCTGAAAATATATTCAGCGATTTCAAGCAAGCAGACGTATATTTGTTTTTTCTATTTGTCCACTTATTGCTGCATATTTTGATTTATACCCGCCTAACTCAATCACGGACACCTTATTCTTTCTGGATACTGCGTCTATTGAATACATCCCCAGTAAATGATTAAGCAAATGTATCGGTACACTTATTATAGCTTTCCAATATATGTAAATTATTATACATAATTATAATATTGAATTAAAACTAAAACCACATTATAAATTTAAAAATACAAAGGAGCACTTAAGCAATAAGCGTAAAAACAAGAGAGAAAACTGGACAAGTGTAAGTGGGACTCGCCCACCGAGGTTCTTCGGGTAATTTTGTTACGTTACCTCAGAAGTTTGATTTTTTCATCGGTTAAAGGGACCGTAGACTCGGACGTAGTTCAGTATATGGTTTCAATTTTGACACGATACCTGCACGCGTTCCCTAGATAAAGGGTATTCACATACTAACATCAAAGTGACTTTGAGGTAAGGAACCCTGAACATGAAATGGCTTAAAGGCTAATTAACTAATAAAAGGAATATCTATCGAGAATAACAATTTAATATCCATAATTATAGATTCAATGTGAAAACCTTCGTTAGCCGAATCATTAACACATCGAAAAAGCTTTAAGTGGGTCTAATTTCAAACGGAATTCGAGCGGAATCTTAAATAGATTCTAAATGGGGAAAATGAGTGGGGAAATGAAACTTGAATCAGGGAAACGACGAGTCAAACAGTAGTGAGTAAGGAGTACTGAGGGGGTAGTCAGTCGTTTATGCAAACGAACAAACGGCAAGAGCTCAATCAGACGCTTCCTTAAATGTAGGTAATTTATTACGTACCTACCATTTTTTTAAATGATCTCTTGTTGAATCATTGTTCGACATATTCATTTAGTTCTCCTGATTTCAACACAGTCCATAGCTTCGCAAAATGTGGTAAACTATTAAAGGTGCCATTACTGTACCTGTTTAATGTACTATTATAATGCCTTAATGGCGCCATATTTGGCGTTGGTTGGAATAGAAATTTAAAACGAAGTAGATGATAATGAAAAGTTGCAAGCTCGCCATACGCCCACAATGTTTCCCGAATCTAGCCAGTTCATTGATATATTTTAACTATCAGTGTGGTATAATTTCGATATTTTTCCTTTATAAATTATATTAATATTTGATCATAAAAAATCGGAAAGCAACGTGCCTATTATATTATTAAAGAACATTTTTATGACTAAGCCGTTGATCACCGCTGCATTTGCAGTCGTTAGCACCCACCAATCTGCATTGGGCGCGCATGGTGTTCATCATCCATGATGATGATGATGAATAAAAAAGTACCTACACAATTATATAACATAATGTGTAAATAAGTATTTAACTAGCTACAAAAGGATTTTTAAACTGGGCTTCACAAATTCAACTGTCACGACAGAATTTCATCGACGATTGCGGAGTGCGCACTCAAAAGACTCGGGCTAAGTCTTGCATATTGAATAGACCTCGTTAATAAAGTATTCAGTAAATCGAAGCGACCTTTCTAATACTAATTATTCATCTGAATCGACTATGGCCAACAATAAAGCAGCCTTATTTAAAATGATGATTTGAAAACAACTTAGTCATCTGCATACCGTAAAATGTACCTCTTCAAACTAAATGATAAATTTTGAGAATTCAACCAATTTAATTAAAGTTTTAATTAAGGGTTTTAATTTACATATTAGTTGGACGCCACCACCGAAAAATAAAATGTTCGACATTGATTTTCTCGTCAAAGTCCTAAATAATATCGTTGATTCTCCAACTCTTTTAAGAAAAACAAATGTTGATCGCATGCGGCTTACGTGCCATTATAGTATATACGAGTAAATATAAATTTCGAAAAAAAAAATTTACTCGTTACCCTTATATTTTCCGTTCCACCAACACGTACAATAAGCAATTTATGCATATCGATCTATTCCATATATCGCTTAATACCTTGAAGCAAAAAATACTGCAATTGTTAAACACATCAACCCATTTATATCAGCTTTGTTAAGTATCAATTTCTCATGGTTTAGCGTAAAAACTTTATTTTATTTTATATTTCACTAAACTCGAAACCTATTATGGCAATGCTAGGTCTATAGATAAACACAAATTCTGTATTCACGTATAAAATAAATCTGTATTAATGTTTATTGCCAGAATAAATGAAAAAAAATCCATATTGCTCTTCTCTGTGTCTGTGTGTGAATGAATAAGAGTAGAAGTACCTAAGTCATCATCATCAACCTATTAATGTCCCCACTGCTGGGGCACAGGCCTTCCTTATGGATGGAATAGGGGGTTTGGGCAATTACCCACCTCGCGGGCCCAGTGCGGATTGGCGGGTGCTAACGACTGCATATGCAGACGGGACCAACAGCTTAGCGTGCCTTCCTAAGCACGGAGGAACGCGAGATAGAAGATTTTTGGTCACCCATCCAATGACCGACCACTGCGAAAGTTGCTCAACTTCAACGATCGCAGCCCAACGCGCTAACCACCCGCACCATCGAGCTCCTCAGAAGTACCTAAGTGTTCGAATTTAATTCATATAAATCAATACATACCAACAAACAGTCCTTAAATAGTCCTCTTGGCTTGTTCCTATAGCATCGTCAGTCTGATACTGCTCGTTTTTCTGGTGATCACTCAGTGTAGTAAGTGTGACCTCATATTTCTTGCTACATTTCTCGTAATCTGGGCGTACGTTTTTTACACAATTAGCATGTTTCAAGTATTCATCTTGGTAGGTCCCCCTGATGCACAAATCATGTACCACATCTTTGATGCCCGAGTAGATCTCTCTGAACACCACTTGTTCGTGCTTCTCCATGCATGTGTCCGTGTAGTTATCTATGCAGCTTATGCCGGAACCGAGTTCACTGTGACAAAAATGATATAATTATTTAAACAAAAAAATAGGGGCATTTGCGATCAGCTTACTCTTTGTTGTTTACACAAACCCACTACGGTTTCATAAGTAGGTAAACTAAAAAATCGTAGCTTTCATTATAGTTATGATTTATCAGTCTTTTTAAAACTAAAGTCTAAGCGTAGTGTACATACATAGTAATAGTTTAACGCAAATAATAACGATACGTCCATGTGTTTCATGTTCGAAATTTAGGGATGCCACGATTTTACTATGACTACGCAGACTGAATATTGGATGAAAGACTTAATAATAATGTTACGAACTTACGGGTTTAATATAATATAATTAGTGTCTAATGTAAGCCTAATGAAATAATATTTTTACTATTATATATGTATAAATTGTCCATGATTCACAGATACTTTTATTAGAAGATTTGTGTAATATGTTGTATTCAGACAACTAATAAGTACAATATTTCTGTAAGGTATCAAGGATTTACCGCATCTCATTGATACCCTATTCATTCGTATACGAAATAGTTCGTCACTTCTGAGAATTACTAAGAACTATTCAAGAGCCATGTGCCACACACAAGAGCAGCAACTAGAGCCATGACCATTTTATTTCTTAGGCACCAGACAGAAGTCATTTTTGGAGAAATTTATAACGGAAAACCTTGAATTCTCTTACGCATTCAAATCTTTACTAGACATTTTTTTATTGAAAAGGTTGTTAAATAATAGTTTTGGTTTGGCATACGATAGTAAGCTTATCACTTCTTTAAAGAAGAACGGTAGACCGATATGCTATAAATCAGTAATAAGATTGAACATAAAGGAGCTTGCTCAAATTGGCCCAAATGCACAAAAAATATTGACATATACGGTAATTCTTGGCGTAATTTATACTTTATTTTACAGTCATTAGATTTTAACAGACATCTTTTTATATTCATTTTAAAAAGGAATTTTATTTACCGATTTGAACAACATACGAATCATTTTTAATGGCTATGAGTGTAGTAACATTCAGCCAAAGACTGATCGAAGTTGTTTATATATCATAAAATCAAATCTATTTTGTAAAGATCGATAAAATGAAAACATTTTTTTTATTACACTGTAGTATTAATATCCACAACTTTATTATCATTTTCACTACATGCAAATGTGCTAAGACAATTATAATAGATGGTAGGCGACATCATAAAGTCTATTGCCATACATTTTTCTCCAAACACCTCCATAAACACATTATAAGGTGTGATGCACTAAAAATCTAAAATATGGTTATAATGTAAACATAACAAAAATAATGAAGCTACTGAAGATATGGCTGTATAACCTAAATCTCTTAGCTTTCTTTGGTTAACGACAGTTTAAAAAATCTCTCTAATCTGTGGCTCATTCACAATCATCACACAGTTTCTGTCACAGAGTACCTTCCATAATATAACCGGAAATGCATAGATGATACCTGATTTTAAAAGTTACTCTTGTGCATTAACTTTAAAAACAGGCAACTATCTGTTAATTTACATGCTCTATGAATGAATCTTATACATAATTTCGGTACTTGGCTTGATTTCCCTAGTTTACTATAAAACTTATTTGTTTTTTATTATTTTAATACGTACCTATTTGCAAACATAACCTCAAAATTGTTCAGTGTATATGGTTTATAGAAGTTCTCAGGGGTGTCCGTCAATAATGTTCGTTTCTACAGTAATTTATATATAATTTCGAATCTAGGAAACAATTTTTCATGATTATTGGTCTTTAGGCCAAACATGTATGGAAGCTGAGAAATCTCCTTTGGGAGTTTCGAGGATAAGCAAGAATTAAGGGAAATAAAACAAAAGAAAAATCTAAAGACTGGCCGAGATCAAAAATAATATCGTTTGTCTAATAACTTAGGACTATTGTGATCCAGAAAAAAGCTTAGCACTCAATTTATTAGTTAAATAATGCATAACCCACTACTATGCCGGACTACTATTTGTTGTTAGCAGTATTAAGTAAATTGGTCATTTACATGCTTTAATTAACTTAAACATTATGTGTGGTAATAACTAACTACCCACTTTACAGATTAGTGCGTGTGCATAAGTTATATAATTACTGCTTAGAGTTGTACAGTTTTGTAGTGAAAACAATTTCTATTTAACAATTTAATACTACATTATTATTACTACAGAGTAAAATAATTTATGTTATATGAGGTTTTCTTTAAATTTGTTAATACGTCGTATAGGTACGTAAAACTGTTTTAAGTCGTACAATAGATGTGAGATGCATATATTAGTAGTTGATCGCTGACTGTTCACACTCGAGAACTCTCTCCACTAGTTATTGTCACTAGCGACAAGAGCTATCAAATGTAATACTCGCTCAGCGATGCTCGCTTGCCTCATATCGCGCGCGCGTGCATTTTGCTCAGGATAGTCTCCGCGAACGAAAGGCGCAAGTAATCGCCCGTCGCATTCGCACACTCGCTTATTTAGTCCAGCGATAAAACCATCGGAACTAGACACTCGTTTCCCGCTGCTCAACAACTCGTTTCAAGTTTCTGCTCACTCACTTCTCGTTGGTCGTCGGCGGTGGAACAAGCGCCAAAAGTGGAGATTACTTCCCCAGACGTAAAACATAGTTGATCTTGATTCGTCTATATTTTATATCATACCTACGTTTTCAATTTAAAATATATGTTATCATTCGAGACGTAACTTCATTTCACGTCGATTTAGTTTCAATCTTGCCGAGGCGCTTCCTATCTTGCTTAGATAGGAAAAGTTACCAGTATGTGTCTAGACTAAAATGCAGTGTAATAGATATATATTCTGTAGTGCATGCACAATATCATAAGTCAACATTATACCGATGTAGTTCATGATCGATTTGACCAAACACGTATATAGAGAAGGTCATTGCAAACACGTGACTTAAAAAAATTTATTGGCACCGGTTAAAGCTAGATAGGTTTTTTTTAATGTCAGGTGGTCGAGTGTCTAACAAGCAAATGGTTCCGTTTGATTTAAAACGACCGGGTTATTCGCCAACTCGACACAAGACACTGAACACACGTACCACGTGTGTCCAGCAGGGTGAAACTCAAAATTAGTTTCACTTTTTATTTCTTCATCTTGATACGCTGAGATTTTTATGCTAGTCCACATAGTGAATTGCTAGATGTTTAAATCTAAGGAAAAATTCCACGCGGGCCAGGCAGCAGACGGGGCTCGAACCAGCACCCTCGGCAATCCGGGCATCCGCTGCAAGGCAGTACCATCTTTTCGTAAGGCAGCGCCATCTCTTCGGCTAATATAAGAATTCGGCACGGCCATTAGGGCCGCGGTAGCATAAAGGTCAGAACATCCCTCCGAAAAGCGGAGGATACGGGTTCGAATCCCGTCTGCTGCCTAGTCCGCGAGGAATATTTTCTAGATTTTTTTCTTTATATTACGATAACTTAGTTGACTACCTTGGCAATACAGAGTACCTGTCTTAACAACTCAACAATGAAAAAAGTCTAAGAAGCTAGATAAAAATAATGCATTGGTAGCATGGTGGGCATGACGCATCAAATACAGATTATTACAGATGATGAATCTGAGTAACAGCATAAGATGAAACAAAACTTGTAATGGTATTTTTAATAATAACCTTTCCTTAGAATACCTATTTACTTACTAACAGACGTTTTTATTCGTTCAACAGGTACAGTTTCTCATACTTAATATTTGTATTTCTAACATTGTTACGCTATCGTTACATTTACTTAATGTTTTAGATGATAATGCATTTGTTTATTAATGACCTTGTAAAACTGAGTGTATGAAAACCAAAAAAAAATAATATCGTATTAATTTTATTATAAACGTAAAGCAGTGATTATAAATAATTACAATAATCGAATAAAACTACAAAAAACATTATTTCGGAATATGCCATACTCTCCAATGCTTAGATAAGCCACGAGTTTCGTCAAAAGTTGGTGAAATTATGTTAACAAAATCTATAAACTAAACTAAATAATTAGGTTTAAGAATCAGAAGTTTATCATTTTGACTATATTTTAATTACAAAGTCTTTTAATTACAAAGTTTTCAGTTTTCAAAACTTTACAACGTTGCAATTTGGCACTAAACGCAATACAAACTCCCAAGATACAAGCAGCCCTGATAAAACACAAACAAACAAATATATCAAAACTTCGGTATTCCATCCTCCACGCTCTGAAAACTTGTTTGATAGTTACGCCTAGTAGATTAAATCGTATCCAGTGATTCGTTCAAGTTGGATAGAGCACACACTAACAATTTACAGTTATTTAGATCCAAAACACCCGTTTACGCAAACTTTGTCAGACCCAACGTGGAGCTTTGCCGTCTCAACTTCAAAGAGTTTCAAACTCAACAAGTGAAACTTTTAAGCGCTGGTATAACGAAAATGTTTTGTAAATTATACGTATGAAGATTTTGTGTAAAATAACCTATCATAGAAATGAACAGACGCACCTGGTAAAATTCCTAAATTTTTTACGAACGATCGCAGTTTTTTTTTTATTGAAATTAACTAAATTACCAATCGGTGTGGAAATGGATAGATGTTTCAATATTCCATTGATGCAGTTTTTTCTCGGTGTCTCATATGATTCATGTACTTTCTTTTTTAAGTATTTTAATTTTTTAAGAAAAATAACTGATTAAATTACATTTACATACCTACGCAATAACTCAAAAAACACGTTTATTTCAACTTTCGATATAAAATACTAATGTCAATAGTAGGGTAGCCCCCAGGTGGTGATTTTGGCATTTATTGGAGGGCGGCAGAATAATATAAGGAGGGCCACCTTACACATTGTGAAGTACTTCCACCATACCAGTGCCCGATATACCAGTTATATAGGATCGAACGTCTGGGGCAGCAAAAGAAAACAACTATCGGCCATAACTTTTGAATAGGATCTACTGGAGAGTTCACGTAACATACCTTCTCATTGTCGGGCGCACTCGAATATATTTTATTACTATTTCTACTCTTTCGTACGACCACATATATACATACATTATAATAAAAAAAAAACAATTTGGTTCAGTCGTTCGGAAATGATATGCATAAATACTTTTCGACGATAAATTTAGTCACAAATTTTACTTTACAATATCATTAAAAAATCCGCTTTAAAAAACGATGATTTTAAAAAACACGGCGTGCTACAAAAGTATATAGCATAAAAAACTGAAAATTAAATTATTGCTTTATCGACTGATATATTTGAAGTTGATAATATAACATTATATTATCATGATCTCCCTACTAAGCACGCGGCTTGTTAACGACTTCAAATATATCAGTCGGTGAACCTTATTTTTTGGTTCTCTTTTTAATTTCATAATTGTTTTATTTTTATTTCCTTTTTAAGTGTAATACTGAATACGCTACTGGTTGGAAATTTTACACGCGGATGAAACTGTAGGACACTGCTAGTAATTATATATTAAAACCTTCCTTGTTAAATACGCATTTATATACTGAAAAGCTCATCGAAATCAGTAGTTTTTGAGATAATCCTCCACAAACATCCATACATACGTGTTAAACTGAGAACATCCTTTTTTGAAGTCCGTTAAAAAAGAAGAAATGGTTACGAAAAAAAACGTTTATTTTCAGATGTCAAAGTCGATTGTGCTATTCCGGTGTTTTCGGTTGAATTAAGAAAAATACTAAAACGCATAATGGAAATGAAACTTACATGCAGCTTTTGGCTAGCTCATCTTGAGTAAGAGCAAAAGATATTTCTCTTGAACTCAGAACGGGAAGAGCCATCGAACACCTCTGCAGAAGGTCCTCCTGTTGATTACAATGACCTTTCAGGGCATCTGTCAACAAATATTCACTATTATTTACTAGATATATGCAACTTTAAACTGTTATGTGAGGAGCTGGCTGGCGCAGGCCTCCAAAAGTGTGAAGAAACAAGAATTAATAATAGGGATATGATGGCTAACTATTTTTTTCGTCTATCAAGTAGGGTATCAAAAAGTATTGGAATCTTATTTATTCTTTATACACTTTATCAAAACATTACAGAGATATATTGATTTGAAATGTCGCATCACGACGTCACGGCTTAGTAAAATTCTTACTTAGAAGTGACTCTACGAGCGTCATTTTTTTGTTGATTGACAAAAGAAAAAATAAGTTTTCATTATTTTTTAATAATTCAGCTATCATCTTATGTATAAAATTCTCGTATCACAATGTTAGTTACCATACTCCTCCGAAACGGCTTGACCGATTTTTTTGAAATTTTATATGAATATTCAGTAGGTCTGAGAATCGGCTACTATCTATTCTTCATATCCCCTAAGTGTTAAAGGTTGTTGAAAAATTTTTTAGGACATTTTTTTTATTATTTGGCATTTAAAATACATAGGTCCACCCTAAATTTTCACCCTTCTACCATCAAACCCTATGGCGGTACGAAGTTCGCTGGGTCAGCTAGTAATAGATAAAATGATCATGATCGAGCTTCTCTTACCATCGACACTTACTGTTAGGTTTATCTTATGTTTGTTAGCCATAGCAAATGATGCGTAAGTATATTTGTTTTTTAGATAACATCACATAAGTTTAACTATTACGTGATGGCACTGATATACAGAACTGTAACAATTAAGATTTGTCGATTTAGCGATATAGCCGCTGAACGTTCGCTGAGACCTACGAGTAGGTTCATTTATATTAGAAATTCTTCTAAAGCAATATTATTTTATTTTGACACATAAAATACATCAATTGCTTTTTTAAGCAATAAAAAAAGTTGACATCGATAAAGGAACACATTCGTGTTATATTATAAGATTTTTATTGTTTTAAAAAAATATGCGACAAATAATGTAAGTATTTTTCTCACGTAGTCCACCACGCATCGGTGTCATATTGCATTGTTTATTTTTTTCGGTTTTTCCACCTAATGTTGAAAGAGGATTATAATCGCTGTATAGAAAATGTACGTCAAGAACTCAAATCAAAAATTACCTATCTTTCCACAATAATTAAAAGTTCATTTACAGACCTCGATTCACGAATCGACACGACGAGAAACTTAGCAAGTCTCCTGTCGGATGATTTAATTTGTTCCAAAATTATAATCCAAGGTTTAGATTTTAGTGTAATTTATTGGTACTCGAGCATTATGTAATGAAAAGCCTGCTCCTCTTCAATATAATCCCAAACGCGACAATGAAAATGTCTCCAGCGTTTGTTTCTATAAGGGTTTATTTGGTTAACTTTAAAGTATTTTGTCCCTTACGACCATAGAAGGCGAACCAAAGGGGATGAATGTACCGTTTTTAAAGGAGCAATAACTCGAGTGAATATTTCCTCTGAACGCCCTTCGCTACATCTATGGCTTTATATAAAGAAGGTTTCCATACTTCAAGTACTTTGGAGACATAATAAGTCATTATATTTATACAGAAGCTCACTCTCTCCAACATGCAGGATAACACAAAGATTTTATTCAGTGTTACTTGGCAGAGGTTAACCAGTCGAATATTACATATAACAGATCAGATAAGAATTGTGCTTTTACTGAATTCCAGAAGCTTAAAGAAAATATAAAAAAGAAACAACGGGTTGCACTCAGGGAGTGCCGGCAGAAGTGAAAACTTGAATATAACGTTGTGCATTTTTGATATTTTGGAATGGTTAGGGAATATTTTGCAAGAATTGCTTTAATTATCAGTATAAAAGTACTATCATGTACGTGGTAGAATACAATATTTATTTATTGGGCTATCGTACACAAACATGAAAATTTATATTACTAAAGAAAAGTTTACTAGAAAAAAAAATCCACGCGGACCAAGCAGCGGACGGGACTCGAACCCGCATCCTTCGCTATCCGGGCGAATGCACTGACCATTATGCTACCACGGCCCTATTAGCCGCGTCGAAATTTTCCTAGCCTTAAGCTGCAAGGCAGCGCCATCTCTTCGCATTGTAGGTACAATGTCAAATGAATACTTTTTCAAATATTAAACATTTGAAAGAATAATTAGCAATTATAGTTATGATTTTATTTATTTTTTAAGCATTTAACTGCTAGATGTTTTGTGGGTTACCTACAATGCGAAGAGATGGCGCTGCCTTGCAGCTTAAGGCTAGGAAAATTTCGACGCGGCTAATAGGGCCGTGGTAGCATAATGGTCAGTGCATTCGCCCGGATAGCGAAGGATGCGGGTTCGAGTCCCGTCCGCTGCCTGGTCCGCGTGGATTTTTTTCTAGTAAACTTTTCTTTAGATTTAAACATCTAGCAGTTAAATGCTTAAAAAGTAAATAAAATCATAATTTATATTACATTAAAAATGTTTATCTCTCAGAAAAATCAACTTACATGAATCACGTTTAAGCGCACTTAACTACATCAATTGTAAAGATATCAACTAACATGAATCACATTTAAGCGCACCTAACGACATCTATTGTAAAAAAATGCATTTTCTTCGCAATAAAGCTGCCACGTGGACGTCCTAGACAGAGACTTATTATTATAATACGATAAAATAAAACATTACTATGTTTCGTCCAATATATTGAAAGTCAACAACCTTTCCAATTTTATTGTGTGTCATTATGCGAGCAGCCCACGTGTTTAACCTGACGCGAGTTTTACATTTTTTACCCGTACAAAAAAAAGTGTACAACGCCGCTAAAGAAGTTTTCACTTCAAAAAGTTAATTACATTAGCTTGTCTTTTATCTTAATTGTTTAAAAGATCATTAAAAAAAACTTTGATGCATAACAGTAAAGTATTGAATCCTACATTAAATGCATGATCCAGAAAAATCTCCTAATGGATCGTCAAAACAAAACTCTCAGAAGCTACGTGGTGAATTGAAAAATATTTGCACATCGTATCCCAAACCAATATCTAATTATAATTAAATCAATGCTACAAGCATTGCAAACGTGCACATACAATTGGCCTTGAGGAAGTTGTTTATCTGGTTTGCGCGACTTTGATTTTTAAGCAAAAACAGATAAAAAACGCTCTCGTTTCTGGTTGTGAATAATAAATCCCAAATCATTCTTCTTTTCTGTCAAATACATTAGACAATTATTTAATACTAGCAAACCAGTGAACCAAATGTTCACCAAAAAAAAAATGTATTTAATTAATTGAGAACTTCGGAGATTTTGTGTGGTTTCGTTTGAAATAGAAATCACGTGATTTCTCAAAAACCGGAAGTGCTACGTTACTCACATCCGGTTTGTAGTCTTATCAGACTATTCTTATCTTATAACTTAAACATTCTCTATATCTATCTCTTACGGTTTGGCCGCTGAAACAGCACCACGGACGGACGGACGGACTTGTCTAATAGATAAGAGATATTAAGATGTTTTTTATTGTTTTTACAACAAAACCTTTTTTGAGTTGTATTAATTAGAAAATGCAAGGAGTATATGAATAAACAATGTATGAAGAACTAGGTAGATCATTTCTATGACATTATGAATCGTTCAAATGTTATACTAGCAAACGAACGAACGACCTTCCAATTCCAATCAACTAATTCTCTGTCCACGCAAATGCCAACTCTCATTTTATCTGTGGCTATAAACAGCTGTGCACACCAGTGCTGCCATATATACGGATTTGTCCGTATCCATACGGAATTTTAACACTTAAACCGGATAATAAGACCATATGGATTTTTATACGGAATTGTCATGAAAATGCAAACAGTAGTTTATTAACATTTCTAATCCCAATAAAATGATTTAAATAAAATAAAACTACACTTTGATCCTGCTGCGATTTGTATTTTTTCAGCAATATTAGCAAAAATCAGGCATAATCACTAATAAAGTACATGTGCCTCTAGGGAGTCCCCTCGAAATAATTAAGTTGGTCGTGACGTCGTGTGAGATGAGACAAAGAAAAAGTTTAAAATATCTATAGTGTTATTTACTATTTTGTTTAGTTATCTCATATTATGAATTGAATGATTGTCTAAATTTTGTATATATTACAGTGTTATTTATTATCATATACGAAGGCGTTAACACACAAGCGATCTTAGAGCCAAAGAATTTAAAAATACTGAATATTTATATAGAAATAAATTGGTTGCAAATCGTTTTTATTTTATAATTTAATTATAATAATTTTAAACTTTGTTTAAGTTTCGTGCATTAACCCGTAAAAACTAGTTTTATTTAATGAGTGATGTGCGTGAAAACCTAAGAAACAAATAATTTTTGTGTCGATTCTGATATGTTTCTCTAACTTTAAACTTTAATTTGACAATAGTACATCCCAGACATTTTTTATGCAGAACGAAAAGGAGAGAGCGAAGTTAAATTAAGTTTCAAAAATCTTAGATTAAAACAAAAAGGGAAGATACGGCACTCGCGGCTCAAAAGTGATCCGCTTAAATTGTGGTGCATGACCACAATTCGCTTTAGTCACAATTGGACATTGAAACACGCTGCATGTGCACTCAATATAACAATATTGCGTATATTCTGTGTTATAAAAATAAAACAATTTCTTTGAAGCCTTTATAAAGAACGAAATTGTTCAAAATCAAATAACAAATGCCTCGGCAACGGAATCGCCATTTCGTTATCAAGAAAAAGACAACAATACAGCTTAGCCGTGCGGACTCGGACGCGGACTCGCCATTTCGCTCGCGCTGCGTTGAAGCGTACAGATTTGTCTCGCTTGCTCGATTGAATGTTTATTTACAGACGTGTGTGTGTGACAATTGCTTATGTAGTTGAGTTGGAGCATATTTTATTTGATGCTAGTATGAGCGTACCGTATCTTCCCTTTTTGTTTTAATCTTAAGCTAAGATAGAATAC